TATCATGAATAACTTTTCCAATGAGTTTTGCTGTTTTTTCTGCTTTGAGGATTTGTCCATGATCTGACTGATTTTTGTCCAATGTGTGACGGGCTGTGTCCGTAGGGGTACAGTCTAGGAGCTGTTGGAACCACTGTGCCCCCTAACAATTCTGCTAGGTTGGTTTCTCTCATATTGCTTTGCTGGTAACATAGCCAGCCTCTCCAAGCCCTGTTATCATCCAACACGACAATAGGAGGACCATATACCCATCTGAATTACCTGAGTACTTTACCTGAGCCACTCATGGAAAAATAGAAGGCCCCCAGCTAGCTTCAGCTCTTCAGCCTTTCACTTATAGTGAAATATAAACCCAAAATTATACCATCCTGCACTGCAAAGGATCTGTATGATGTAAGATCATTAATTAATTAGCTCCCCCCTCACTGTGGGTAAGGTACGCAATAGCCTTTGTTTCAGAATTAGAGTTCCCAAACACTTCATTTAAACTCACTAGTTAAGATAAAACCTAAATCAAGTATATTAATTACAGAAAGGTAGATTTTAAGTGATTATAAGTAACAGTAAGATCAAAGTAGATTACCTAGAAAACTGAGCCTAATATAATACATCGTTATTATCAGAGTTAGCAATATCTCATATTGACCAATGATACAAGCAGTCTATGAAGTTTCTATACAAAGCCTGGGACCGGCATTTGCCCCTGTTGAGTTTCCCCCCTCGTGTTTCCAGGTGTTGTCTAGTGTGGGGAATTCGATCCAGTCATGATGTCACTTTCTCTTTTTAATTTGCTGGAAAGCTCTTTTGCTGTGACTTGGGTCAAACCATTTCCATTAGGAATTGCTATCAAGAGGTTTCTGCTGTACACAGTTCTTGGGGTAACCCCAGTGCTCGGGTGCATTTCCTCGGTCAGCTATCAAAATTGTTTGCCTTTTTTTATTGGTTTACCTGAAAGGCTACTTGTGGATATTCTTAGCCTTACCTGTTTCAGTAACACATAGATAGCCAAACTTCATAACTTCACATACATAGGATTATATTTGTTATCATTGTATGTTTAACTTTTAGAATATCTCATAAAACAATATCTCATAAAACATACTTTATACAAAACAATCATATGACAGTGGTGAATGTGGGTTGCAGAGTAGGGATGTAAGTGACTAGTCCACTATCCGATAAGTAAAAGCTTATTGGATAGTTGACCCACTAGTTGACTAGTCGCTTCCTCCCCTTTGCTGCTTCAAGGCAGCAAGGCAGAGGGAGGGTGGTGGAGGAGAAGGAGGAAGGAGTGCTGGGGGGAAGCCGGCTTAAAAGCCGGTTGTCTCCAGCTCCAGCGCCATAGGAGGAGGCAGAGGTGCCGCAGCAGCGTTCCACCTTTGAAATGTAAAAGAGTCCCTGCTGGGGCTCTTGCGCATTTCAAAGCGGAAGCACTGCATGGAGCTTGGGGCCAGCGGGGGGTCTTAGTCCCCCGCTGGTTCCGGGCTCCATGCAGCATTTCAATCTGGTGCTCTTGTACATTTCAAAGGCAGAACCTTGAGCAGCACTTCCACCTTGAAATGTAGCAACACCCGGGCAAGCTCTTGCTACACTTCAAAGCTGAAGCACCCTTATTGACTAGTCGAAGGAAATTCCAGTGACTGTTCGATTAGTTGATTAATCTAATTTTAACATCCCTAGTGCAAAGCACCACAAAACATATTTATTTGAAATTCTTCTGTGAAAAATTGTTTGCCTACAGGTTGATTCTGAGCTGTTTGTTATGAATAGTCAGTATTTGACATTTAAACTGCTTTTCTTTGTCACACAGATGTTTTCATATTATTTCTCTTCCATGATTGGCTAAGCATATCTCTTCCAGTCTAATTTCTGAAGCAAATGCTACCACTTATAAATTTAAAATTCTTTCCTTGTGAGTAATCTGCAATATTGGCTTAAAATTATGCATTGTCAAACACTCTTGCAGTGAACTTACTTCTTAAAATATAGATTTAGGGTGAACTCCTGGCCTCATTACAGCTGACCTGAATCTTGCCATTGGTTTCAATGGGACTGAGGTTTGGACAAGAAAGCAAACACAAAAGGGACATGAACAAAGACATTTGTAAGGGGTTTTTTTTTGCAGTATTTATACAACTCTAAAACCCAGCTGAATGACAAATGTGCATGAATAACTGACTTGAGTGCACCATCTGCATCGGATTTTGAAAGTGACTGACTTTCAGAAGTGAAAAATCTTTTCTATAGTTGTAATCCTCATCTACATAACCATGTTAGAGGCATATCACGACACAGTAGCTATACTGTTGTAGTGTCTGTACTGTAGGCGTGGGTTTAGTGTCAATATCAATTAAATTAACTGTAGGCATGCCAAAACGATTGCTATCAAGTGGGCTAATTGAATGTTTTTTTTTTCATTTGTAATTTGAAGATAGTCTTACCATTTTCTGTTTCTGAAATCCCCAAAGAAATGCCATTGGGTGTGAGATTTTAGAAAACATTAGTTTTTGGACGTTAACAAAACTTCCAGAAAAATTTCTCCTTACAGCTCGGCTACGTCTACACTGGCCCCTTTTCCGGAAGGGGCATGTAAATTTCACTAGTCGTCGTAGGGAAATCCGCGGGGGATTTAAATATCCCCCGCGGCATTTAAATAAAAATGTCCGCCGCTTTTTTCCGGCTTTTAAAAAAGCCGGAAAAGAGCGTCTAGACTGGCCCCGATCCTCCGGAAAAAGCGCCCTTTTCCGGAGGGTCTTATTCTTATTCGAAGTAGGAATAAGACCCCTCCGGAAAAGGGCGCTTTTTCCGGAGGATCGGGGCCAGTCTAGACGCTCTTTTCCGGCTTTTTTAAAAGCCGGAAAAAAGCGGCGGACATTTTTATTTAAATGCCGCGGGGGATATTTAAATCCCCCGCGGATTTCCCTACGACGACTAGTGAAATTTACATGCCCCTTCCGGAAAAGGGGCCAGTGTAGACGTAGCCCTCATGTTTAATAGAACTGCATCCAATATTCCAATACATATTGAAAGATTTCAGTAACCAGGCAAGTCTGGTGATCTTACAACTTATGGTTACTATCTGACCACTAGAGCTCGCTGAAAACAGATTTAAAAAAGAGTCTTTTTACTGTTTTACTTTCTTCCCTCACTCCACATTTTTTAAAAAGTCAAAATTTTGATATCTGAAAACCTCAATTTTGACAAATGTTCCCTGGGAAGAATCCCTTTAACATTTTTTATGACATTTTCATCAAATTCAAATTTTCAAAAATTGTAACCAGCCTCGGTGACTGGCTGGTATAAGTTTTTTTTAACATAGTGATGCACTGAAATAAGACTGTACCTTTGATGGCCAGATGTGTCAGTATTTGACACCAGCATTAGCAGTGGCTGGTATTTTTATGCCTATCTATAGATTGACAAACTACAGAATAAAATTCTATTTTTAAAGTGGTGGATTCCTTGAGGTATCATGTAAAATAAATAAGCAATGCTGAACAGCTTTAACCAGTTTCTTAAAATGCAACTTTCTGCATCATGTAGGTATATAAAAGAGCAACCCATAAATAACCTAAACAATTAGTGAATTCTTTGAGAGCAATTGATTTCAAATGGCGTCACCTCTTAACATAAGAATGGCCATACTGAGTCAGACCAATGATCCATCCAGTCCAATATCCTGTCTTCTGACAGTGGTGAACACCAGTTGCTTCAGAGGAAATGAACAGAGCAATTATCAGAGTGATCCATCCCCCGTTGTCTAGTAGCATCTGTCATTTAGAGCCTGAGGGGGACACAGAGCATGGGATTGTTTCCCTGCTCATTTTGGCTAACAGCCATTGATGGAGCTATCCTCCCTCAGTGCTGGATGCTAAGGGTGCTGCCACACCCCCTAACTTGAAGCAGTTTCCAAACAGTGTGTTTCAATGGCTTTCAGCACCCTCACAATAAAAAAAATGTTCCGGGTCCCCTGCTATCCTCCATGAACTTATCTAATTTTTTGTAATCCACTTATAGTTTTGGCTTCACAACATCCCATTGCAATGAAGTGAACAGTCAATCTGTGGAATGTCTTTCATATCAACGTTGCTGTGAAAGTTTCCCTTTTCTTTCTTTTTGCTATTTTAGCTACCTCTGGCTTCAGCTGTTTTATTTTCTTTGCAGGATCAGCTTTTACAACATCCGATAACTTATCTCTCAGCTCCTGGGTATCCTCTTCAACCAGTTTTCCTGGATTTCAGCACCCACAGTCTTTGACTGCCCTTGGTACCAGCACTGCATCCATAGCTACACCCATTCCTCATCCAATCCAAGGATCTCTGCCTCCATACAGCCGTCTGGGAATGCCTCTTACACCTTCTGCCATAGCCAGCTCAATGCAAGGGAGTGGCCCAACGTTCCCGTCATTCCACATGCCTAGATACCACCATTACTTTCAACAGGGGCCTTATGCAGCTATTCAAGGACTGCGTCATTCCTCTGCAGTGATGACTCCATTTGTATGACTGACATCAGACAAGAGAAATCAAGATTTTAAATGTGAAAATTTGCCGTGACAGTACAGCAGACCTTCTTGAATGATCTCTGGTGAAAGAGCTGAACTCCTAACATACCAGCTAACAATGCATTATGGCTACAGATTCCTCCATTTAGGGATCGTGGCAAGAAGGAATGCAACTTGGGGTTGCAAAAGAAGCCATCTACTACAGCAAAATGGATCACAAAGTTCACAGGACTTTTAGCCAATTGCTGGTTAATGCAAAGGTTCATTTTGCCTGGTGGAGTAAGAAGGTGCGTTTATGCAGCAATGTACAAATTAATTGTGTACAGTTTTTTTGCCCACATGCTAAAAGAACCCTGAAAGAGGCAATATTCTTACTAGACTCCACGTCATCTTTCCCCACGAATACTGAGAGCCAATATGGAAAGATGTATTGCTATAGCTTTGAGCATGTTTAGGTTATCACTGCATTAGTTTGTTGGGAGAAGGGTGGGTGGGTTGTTCTTTTAAAGACTGACTTACTTTAGTAAGAACAGTTTCTTGGTTCCAATGGGGAACTATCAAGAAAACGTGATCACAAAACAAGTTTGGAATTCTTTATTGTCTTTGAGTTCACAAAGTTATCGTTTCAGAAAAAAAGACTGTCTGAGAACTATATAAAATGTTTGATTCTGTGCTTTGTCTAAAAATGAGCTCACAAATCCCAGAAGGGGGCAATTTAGCATCTGTCTGGAGTGATGGAGGGAAATATTTATTCTGAAGGATCTGTTACTTTTAATCTGAAAATGAAAGATCTCAAATCTTCACCCTGAATCATTTATCTGCCACTGATACTAAAGGACCGCACTCTCCAGATGTGCATTTGTATGTGATAAAGGAACAGAGCCAAATTCTTTTACTATAAAGATCTGCACAGTGGATCTCAGTGCATGGCCAGCACAAGAATTTACCAGCTTATCTGATTTTTTCATTGTGATGGGTAATGTTGCCAACTGTGCTGCCTGCCAGGCAGACCAGAGCCAAATTCTGGGCTAACATCTGTCCCATTTTGATCTGTGGAGTGGTCTGGAATATAAATCAGCACATAATTTGGCCCATAATATTTTACTCATATCCATCTTTTGATGGTTTCTAATTTAAATATGGCTGTGTTAACAACGGGTCTCATTCTGGCTGCAATCCAGACTTTCTGGGTTTTTTTGTCTGTACTATAATAATGTAATTAGCATAATTGCTCATATTTGCTCCTGGGTAGAAAGCCACCTTGAGGACTGGGCACCACTGAAGTCTTAAGAGAGGTTGATGCCTTGTGCTGGCTCTCTGTATGGGGTTAATTTCAACATCTGTGAAGAATAAACCACATTCAGATGAAAGAGAAGGGTCCAATCAACTCAGCCATCATATAGTTTCTGTACATCCATAAGAAATACCATATGTTTATTGACCCGGAGTTCTTATACCCTAGTCATGACTTCTATAAGGGGCTGTAGTGGTTTATCTGAAGTAAGGCTTCAAGAGTTCAAGGCCTGTCTTCATTTTCTTATTCTGTTATCCCTAACCAGTGTATATTACAGCACTGTGCAGTTAGAGACCTCCATATTTTATGCCATGTGCCATACATCTGGGTGAAGTGAAAGACATGTCATATGAAAGTCTTCAGTCTATAGCCTATTGACTAGTACAAAATGCTGTAACACCATCTCACATTTTGCCCGATTCTTTATTTTATGAGGCTGCAATGGAACACAAAACAAAGATGATATTTATGGCACAGATGACAACTATTTTGATAAATCACAAATGGTGGCTTTTAAAATCTCCCCAGTTTTTGTCTTGAATAGGTACCATTAGCTCCGTAATTGTAGCATTACTTTGTCTTTGCCCAACTTTGCTTAGGGAATACTACAAAGACTGATGTAAAAGTATCCAAAGCAACTGAGCGTTTGTTTTGTGGTTTTTTGAATGGGTGAAGATGGTGATCCAGTCATCATTTTTGGACTCAGATTCCCTATGGGGAATGTCACAAATCAATATACAGGGCCAACCCTGTATGCTTGCTTAGGCTGTTCAGATGTCAAATTTGGCCTTCTGTACCTACATACTGGAGTTCGCTGTACCTAAATACTGTTGAACTTAGCTGCAAGGTATTTGTACTGAAAATCCATTTTTGGCTAATCATGCCCTGTTCTGACATGAAGAACCCTAATTTGGGGGAAAATCTGAGAATATTAGTGGATCAGATACATATGCTGCAAAAGCTAGTTAACAATACAAAGATAATACCACTTATATTTTCAGTGCTGATTTGGAGGGACAATTGACAGTTTTCTCTCCCCTTTCAACTGTTTGGCTTACCTAGAATAAATGTGGCATTCATTTTTAACCAGATGCTAATCCTACAACAGCTAATGGCAAAATCTGTGGGGTAAATTATCTAGTGGTGCATTCAGTGTTACCGTGGGAAAAATTCAACCCTGTTGCTTTTAAAGCTCTTTTTGTGTGTGTGCACATACTAGAAAATGCTCAAGTGAGTTCCTGGGCTCCCTGTTTCCATTGATTGAAGAAATAAATTTGAAGCTGGTAGACTACATCCTTTATAACATGAGACCAATCTTCTCACATTGGCCTCTGTTCCCGTATAAAACAAAATTCTAAACAAGTTCTTTGGCCCCTTTAGCTCTTTTTCATGAGCCCATCCAAATAACGCCAATATTCTCCATATAAAATTTCTGCTGTGATGCTAATAGAATATGTAAATGTACCCTAGGAAGAACTACAACTCTCCTTGAAACAAATAGGCTGTGTCTACATTGGGCCACTTATTCTGGAAAAGCAGCCGCTTTTCCGGAATAACTTGCCAGCTGTCTACACTGGCCGCTTGCTTTTCCGGAAAAGCAATGACGATCTATTGTAAAATTGTCAGTGTTTTTCCAGAAAAACTATGCTGCTCCCGTTCGGGAAAAAGTCCTTTTCCGGAAAAACTGTTCCGGAAAAGGGCCAGTGTAGACAGCACAGTAGTCTTTTCCGCAAAAAAGCCCCGATCGCGAAAATGACGATCGGAGCTTTTTTCCGGAAAAGTGCATCTACATTGGCCACGGACAATGCATCCTGCCAATGTAGACACGCTTTTTCCGGAAATACTTATAAAGGAAAACTATTCCGTTTTAAGCATTTCCGGAAAAGGGTGCCAGTGTAGACGTAGCCATATAGTATCAGAAAAATGCTAAAATATCCAACAAAAGGCAAGTGCTTCTTCATTAGGAATAAAACGTGAAATATATATGAAAAGTATGGCACTAGTCCTCTCCTCATGTAGAACTTTCACGGGAGTGGGAAGTTCCCTCAAACTCTGATCAGACTCATGGACTACTTCCCACAGCAGAGTGGAATTTGTCACCCTATCAGTCAAGAAGGGGACAAGGCTTTTAAACCTCCCTCTGAGAATCCTACGGTCTCTGAGTAGCCACCCCTCTGTTGTGCAGTCTGACTAGCTCATCCCTACAGCAGTATAACTCCTTTTGAACCATGAACCCATTGGGTTCCCCTCCAATGCAGACAGAGAAAACAAACCGCTCAAAGGCAAAATGGCCATGGAGTGCCCAGCAGCATTAATTCAGGGGGTCTCCACCTTATGGATCTTGTGGGAGAGTAGAACATTGTTACTGAATGGAAGCCCTCAGCCCATTATTGACATAGGTTTATTATTGTGATTTGCTTGTCTTCTAGCAGAAAGCAGCATTGAGTGTACCTAGTGGTACCCTGATTGTACCTTGTGGGTGAAATCCTTGCCCAGTGAAGTCTGTATCAAAACTGTAATTGACTTTACTGGGCACAAGATTTCAGTTTGCCTTTCCTATCTCACAAATGGCACCCAGCTAGCCAGACAGTGACATTTGTGACTCTACCAGTATAGGAACTCTACAGAGGAGACTACAGACCAGTTTTCCAGTTGCTTTCCATTGATTTTTATTTTTGTAGATTAAAAATTTAGAAACGTAATCCAGATAGCTGCTTAAACATTGACATTGTTATGAGTGCTTGAAAACAAATCCCTGTACTGCTTTGATACTGGCTCAGTAATCTCTTCCAGGAACTCCTGTCCTGCCAATGGCCCAGGGATATCACTTTGAAGCAAGTGATTGGTTGATGACTGACCAATGCCAAATATAACTGAAACTCTTATTGTTCTATGTATTTCACATTTTTATGCCTGACGTGGAACATTCCTCACTTTTCCATGCTTTCTTGGCTGTGCAGAATAGGAGCTGGTCCCTTTTAAGAAGGGCTGGATGAACATGCCTGTATTTGTATTTCAAAATGAATGGTAAGATTATCCTCAGTCTATTGTTGTATTGCCTGGCTCAGTGTTATGAATGCATTTGGATGTTTTTTAAATTACTCTGTTACCCAGAGAAATTCACATCTTGTATCAATCAAAAGAATCACAGACTAAGGCAAATGACTTAAGCCTCTATCCAATTTCCTTTTTAGTTCTGGAACACTGTAATGAGTAAGACATCAAACACATCTTAAATTTAGCTGTTCAGTTCTCAGAAATGGTCTAGCTGATCTGTTGCCTGCCCTGCAGGATAGTCATGGGTCCAAATTGAGAGCCACTGATTGGTAGTACAGTATCTGTGAATTGACTTAACTAGTATAGGGCGAATGGGTTCAGTTACAAAACTAAGGTGAGATTGCTTTTCTTTTGGATAAAAACGGTCTTTGTTAGGTCAAGGAAAACATTAGATCTTCTCAACACTGGGGAAAAATAGTAGTCATATTTCAGTACTGGTGCAGTCCCAGCCAATGTTCCCTCTAATTTTTCCCACCCCTGAGCAGAATGATTTTGGTTATGTGCACCAAATGTGGAGTAGATGTGCAACACATCACCTCCACATTGGGGCACATGAAAAATTCATGTGTCGGGAGCGGGGCCAATGGTTCTGAGTACAAGAAGGGGCTCAGGCCTGGGGCAGAGGATTAGGGTGCAGGAGTGGGGGGGGGGCGGTTCTGGCTGGTGGTGTGGGCTTGGGGGGTTGAGGGATGCAAGGGCTCTGGTTGGGGGTGCAGGCTATAGGGTGGGGCTGGGGATGAGGAGCTTGGGGTGCAGGAGGAGGCACCAGGTTAAGGAAAGGGCTCAGAGCTGGGAATTGATGTGCAGAAGAGGGTACAGGCTCTGGATTGGATGTGTGGGCTTTGGGGTGAGGCTGGGAATGAGTGGTTTATGCTACAGGAGGTGGCTCAGAGTGGGGCAGGAGGTTGGGGCTCAAGCTTACCTCGGCAGCTCCTGGGCAGTGGTGCTAAGTCAGGCTGCCTGGCCAGGGGTACTGAGCTGCACTCTAACAGTGGCCAGCAGGTATCCTGGGGGTGGAGTGTGGGGCTTGAGGCTCCATGGCGTGGTGCACTGCACACACTGCTCTTGCCCACAGAATGGACATAGTGCCTGGTGCCCTGTGGTCCCCCTGCCTAGGAGCTGACCATGCTGCACTGGCTGCTTTCTCGCTGGCTGCAGCATAGAGCTGTTCCACCTGCAGCCCCCAACCCCTGCGCAGGGCTTCATGGGAAGCCTCACAGCCACTTAGTGGAAGCATATGCCCCACCTATGGGTGAGGTCCAGTGGAGACAGACTGCAGGTTGTCATTGGCCTCATGATCTGTGCATAGTCTGCACTAGCTCTTCTCTGGCACTAGTGGAACTACACCAGTACTGGAAAATCTCTACAAAATTTCCTAGCAAACACACCCTTAAGGATAAGGCCTTGAGAGCAATGGCAGATGCCAAGGGCTTCTGAAAGCCTGGCCGTTCATGAATGCACTGTCTCTTCCTGCACTGCAGTGAAGCATTCTGATGACAAGAGAAAAGGGGAAAACAACATCCCAAGAGTCAGCAAATATTCGACATTTTAAAAAGTCAACTTGTTTTTAAAAACAAAAAGGTGATTTGATGATTTGTTTAGATTCCACAAGGTCCTATCTCTTATGTGTTTGTATTTGAAGAGGCATTAGGGTTAGAGCCCTTGTGTTGCACTGGGTGTATCTTACTCATTGAAATGCATGCTCATTTGGTGAGGCCTAATTTTTCCCACTCCCTACTGTCTCTTTCTGCACTAGAAAATGTGGTTTCACTACTTTGCTTCTGTCCTGCTGTGGGGCAGTATTTCAGACTCTGGTAAATTGTCACTGAATGTGGTTTCTGGTCTGTAAAACAAGAAAGGCAATCTTTTGAGCTTATGCAGGGTTCTTCTTCAGAGAACTATTCAGAGGGTCACAGCCAAATATAAGGTGGAATGGATGGTTTAGCACAAATTAACATATTTCAAGGGACCATTCAAGGTGAAGTAGCTTATTACCTACTTATGCTAAACCATCTCTTCTACCTTGTATTTAGCTGTGACACTGCCCTGGTCTACATTAGGACTGTATTTCGAAATAACTCCCACCCTCCAAGGTCAAATTTATAAGCAGACTGTCCACTCTACCAAGCCCATTATTTCAAAATAATGGGCCATGGAATTTGAAGTCTGTACTCCTGCATTTATCAGGAGTAATGCTAATTCCGAAATAGTTATTTTGAAATAATAATGAGCTCTGGGACAGTTATTTTGAAATAATTACTCCCCAGTACTTCCTGGGGCTCTAAGTCTAAAGGTAGCATGTACACATTAAGGGAACCTGCCTCAGACTAATTTCGAGGCTTCCCTGTAGCGTGGACATGCTAGTTTGAATTTGTTAAATTGGGAATTAAGTCACATTTACTAATTTTAGAAATAGATTTCTAGTGTAGACATGGCCTCAGAATATGTTTCCCAGTCCTGAAGAAGAGCTCTGCATAAGCTCAAAAGCTTGTCTTTCTCACCAGCAGAAGTTGGTCCAGTAAAATATATTCTCTCATCCACCATGACAGTTCCAGGATATTAGAGACCTGACGAAAACAACACTGCATACAAGTTTTTATTACATGATTTTCCCTTTTGAAATAAATTAAGCAGTGATCTAAATAAATACTCTATGAAGTAACTTCTTATAGTATATGGACAAGAAATACAGTTTGTATTTTACCTCTGGCACATTTTAAATAGTCTCTATTTTTTTTCTTTTTGTACCTTAAGAAAGGAGGAAAGATTTCTTTTTAAAAACAGGGAAGGTAAAAACTGGATGTGTAGCCTCTTTAACCGAATGTACCACAGTCCTGCTGTTTGCTGTGTTTGTTTATAATGCCTTGAGTGAGCACATTTACCTTGTAATGAAAGTGTGTGTTTGGGCTAGGAGCAGGGAGGGAATAATGGAGGGGAAATCTTTTTATGGGAAAAAGTTATGAACATAACAAACTATGAAGCAACATCTAATGAAAAGTTTCTTTTTAAGTGCAATATATTTATTTCTGCTAGAAATATATCAACATTATGTAATATTTGAAGCATTAAATGTTATTTGTAAACAGCTTAAAATTATTATATATATATATCACAAAATTGTACATAAGTGCAAATGTGTGGATAGCCATTTCCTTTCATTAAATATTGGGTGTTTTGATATAATCCTTATTTATACGAAGTTTCCTCCTTTTGATGTTCTCCAGTTAATCGCTGATGCTCTTCTGTGAGGGCATACACAATTCAGATATGACTGCTGATGTGTGAAAGATAGCCTAATTTCATATTGAAGCCACAGTCATCATAGGAGAGTGATAACTTTGCTATAGTTAAGTGTAGTTGAGATTAGACTACTGTTTAGTAGAAAAGTCATGTAAGTGTCTGAAATCCACGTGTTTGCTTAGAGTCAGACTGTCTTGAAAATTGCTGTGCCTCATAAGAGCCAAGGATAAGGTCAGTGGCTGATATTTGGGGTTGTTTGAGCAAAGGTTTTCCTATTTAAACTCCCCCTTGTGTTAATCCTCTAATCCTTCTAATATCCATGTGCACAAATTGGTTGCTCATACTATGATTCTGATCCTCTGCAAACTAATATCAAGCACTTGGATTTCTCAGCTTGTGCACAGCATCCACTGGCCATTGGAGGAAGCAGTACTAGAAAAGTCTGGCCCCGGAGCTTCCAAAGTTGAATAGTCCTGCCCTGATACATTTGTTAGTCTTTAAGGTACTTCCAGATTCTTTGTTAATACTGGAAAAGTTATTGAGGATCAAGCTGACTGTTGCAGGTTGACAAATAACTGCAATGCTGAGCCAGACCAGTCATCTGTTTAGCCTAATATTGTCTCTCTGAAGCTATGTCTACATTGCCAAGAAAAGTCGGAAAAAGATATTTAAAGTGTGAACCAGGATGTTCACAAAATTTCTACATGGGACCAAATTTCAGAAAAAAAATTCCTCTTTCAGAACATCCCTTATTCCTCTCACCGAAAAGAATACAGGGATGCTGAAAGTACATGTCCACCTTTTTGGAAACTTCCGAAAAAGCAGACATGTTCCTTGGACATGGCAGAGCTCTGGTATCCCAGAAAAACTCTGCAGTCTAGACTAGCAGTGGCTAATACCAGTGCTTCTGGGGGAGTGTATATAACAGGGCACTTAGTGTGACCCATTCCTGTCTTTGCCATTTGTCAGTCAGAGGCTTAAGGTTTTCTCAAGCCTAGGTTTGAAACCCAGAGTATTTTGCTAATAGCTATTGATGGATCTAACTTCCATGAAATTACCTAGTTGATTTTTTTTAACCCAGTTGCATTTTTAGCCATCATAACATCACATGGCAATGAGTTCCACAGTTTAATTATGTTGTGGAAAAATATTTCCTTTTTTATTAAATATGCTGCTTATTTATTTAATTCTGGGATCCCTTGACTACCTTGTGGAAAAGGGTAAATGACACTTTTCCCTATCCCATTCATGATTTTATAGACTAATCATACCCCTTCCTTGTTTTAAACTAAACAATCCTAATCTTTCCAGTCTCTCCTCATATGGAAGTCATTCCATATTCCTGATCATCACTTTTCTCTAACTTTTCTAGTTCCATCATCATTTTTTTTGAGATGAGGTGACAAGAACTGCATGCAGTAGTCAATGTGAAGACACACCATGGATTTCTATAAGGCTACGTCTACACTGGCCCCTTTTCCGGAAGGGGCATGTTAATTTCAGAAGCCGTAATAGGGAAATCCGCGGGGGATTTAAATATCCCCCGCGGCATTTAAATAAAAATGTCCGCCGCTTTTTTCCGGCTTTTAAAAAAGCCGGAAAAGAGCGTCTACACTGGCCCCGATCCTCCGGAAAAAGCGCCCTTTTCCGGAGGATCTTATTCCTACTTCAAAGTAGGAATGCAGACTTCAAAGTAGGAATAAGATCCTCCGGAAAAGGGCGCTTTTTCCGGAGGATCGGGGCCAGTGTAGACGCTCTTTTCCGGCTTTTTTAAAAGCCGGAAAAAAGCGGCGGACATTTTTATTTAAATGCTGCGGGGGATATTTAAATCCCCCGCGGATTTCCCTATTACGGCTTCTGAAATTAACATGCCCCTTCCGGAAAAGGGGCCAGTGTAGACGTAGCCTAATAGTATTATAATAATCCCCATTCCTTTCCTAAAAGTTCCTAACCTTCTGTTAGCCTTTTTCACTGCTGCTGTGCATTGAACTGAAGTTTCCAGAGAACTGTTCACAGTGACTTCAAAATCTTTCTTGAGAAGTAACAGTTAACAAATAGCCAGGAATGTAAATATGTAGTAAAAATGTTAACCAGTTAAATGATTTAATTATAATTGTTTAACTGGTTAACCAGGTGGCTGGGATCTGGCTAGGCCACTGGACAGGGGACTCCTTTAAGCAATTTCTCCATGGGCGGATGGTGGACTGCTCTGGTCAGCCATTGTCTTGCCATACCATAGGCAGAGGTTGCTCTGGCCACCATCCTATGTCCCACCACACCACAGGTGGGGAGCTTCTCTGGGTGGCCCCTTGGTTAATCTTTTACATCTCTACTAAGAATCGATCATTATATATGTGTAGTTGAGATTATTTTTTCCAGTTTAATCTCTGTGCACTATCAAAGTTGATTTCCATCTGTCATTTTGTTGACAGACACCCAGTTCTGTGAGATACCTCTGTGGCTCTCTGTAGTAAGATTTAGATTTACAAATAATATTCAGGATAGTTATTGTGGACTGTGCCTCATGTGGGTAAAAGTTGAGACTGCTGAATTCAGGACAAACTGATGTAAAAACAGGGTAGCTGCACCCCAGAACTGGTGGTTATTCTGACACTAGAGGTCACCAAACAAGCAACAAAAATGAACTCCTGTATCACTACACTGATTAACTAGAAGCTAAAAGCTCAGTCTCTTTATCATCACCCAGACATCTGGTCTTTATGATGGCAGGTATCTGAAAACCAGATTCATCACACAAAGTTCTTCTAATCCCAAAGGATCAGCCATTCCCCCCGGTATGCTTTAGATCTTACCCAAATATCATGCTGCAGCCAATTTCTTTAGTAACTAAAAACAAAAGGCTTATTAAGATAAAAAGAAAAGACAGACATTAAATGGTTAAAAGGATCATGTATGTTACAATTGATTTCAGAGTTTGCAGATCAGGATCATAGCGCCAATGTTAAATCTGTTATCTTTTAATAAATCACCCAAGCAATTTGGGGGGTCAGTCAGTCCTTTGTGCAAAGCTTCCTTAGAAAATCACAGTCCAGAGATGAAAAGCAGAAATGAAGACAAAGCAACGATGTCACACCTTCAATTTATAGCTCAGCCCAAGTGCAATGAAAAGTTACTGGCTAATATGGGAGCTAAGGACACATTAATGGAAAGTCACTGGTAAAAGATGGAGTCTTGGATAATATATCTTTCTTGAGGCATTTTCAGGAAGCGCCCTAGAAAAATTGGTTGTCCTTAATGTGCCATCAAGCAGGCTGGTTATTTTGAGGCAAGTCTGTCTGGGGGTGTCACGCAGTAACATAATGCATGTTTGAGATACTAATATATAGTGAATATTCATATCTTCAAAGACAAAGATAGTACATAAACAGGATTATCATACTCGACAGTCTAACTTTTCCATTGATACCTTATATGACATACCTTAACAGGTTTTTTGCAACTTTATAGCAATAATGCCTGTATTAGTGTAACTAATTCACTGTGATGCTGTTCAAAAGGAAGATATCTGTAAACTTTGCCACTTCACTGTTCCCTCCCCTTAGCCAGATAATTTATCAATATGTTGATCAGGACCGGTCCCAGCACAGATCCTTGGGGGAGCCTGTTGTTTACTGCTCTCTACTGTGAAATTGGACCACTTATTTCTACCCTTTGTTTCCTAATCTATGAAAGAGCCTTCTCTC